GGGTGATCCTCAGACTGCTCCGATTTCACTGCTCCTCAGATTCACTCAGACTGCTATCCTCTCCTCATTGTGGCTAGAGACTAATCCTGAGACTGAATGTCTCTTCCTTTTATACCTCTCTAATTCGGGGATTAAAGGAATGAGCTTTGATTCACTCTCAGGTAGTCCAGGGTTGTCTTGGACTCTGCCTTTCTATTGTGTCCTGGGATTAAAGGTGTATACCATTATTGCCTGGTTTCTATAACTGCTGGGATTAAATGTGTGTGCAGCCACTGCTTAGCTTATGAAGCTTGTGGCCATATGCTTTCTGGATCCTTAGGCGAGCTTTAATAATATTTAAATAATATTACCACATAGCAAGTTTCTGATTGTTTGGTGCAATATCAAAACATAATTTTGGAACATTTGGGGGTATTTAATTTTATAATATTGGATATTTATTAAGTATTCCAAAGCTATTAATAACTTCTCTAAACATCAGACCAATATTAATTTGTTTTGTTTTGATAAGAGCAATGTGGTGCATGTCTTATATGTAAAGATAGCAGCATAGTCTAGGAATCCCACAGTATCTGGTTGTCCAAGACTTCATCCAATAAATTCCACAGATGATGATCCATCTTGATCCATAATTAAAAAAGTTCTTTGAATTTACTAAGGTTATTTGCTTTGGAGTTTATTTGATTAATGATTATGAATTCAAAATTTCTTGAAACTTAAGTTAGGTCAACTTCACGAATATTTTGGTTACAACAAACACAGAAGATATGAAGAAGCAATTCAGTTTCTAACCACCACTATAGTATGAGATTAAGAGAATTTTTTGAATTTGAAAGTATGATCTAGGCTCTGTACTGACATTAATTAATATTTCTTGTGATGTACTTTAGAACTTGGAGACAATCATGTGAATATGACTTACTTACCTTCCCAAGTAGAGTTTCTGTTAGGGATAGCACATAGATTCACTGTAATTTTGACTGAAAAATCAATGGTGATTTCCAGATGTATTTGTTCTACTGCTGTTCTGGAGCACATGATGAGAATGTCAGGATGCAATGGTATTGCTTGAGGAGAGGGGATGTGTTGTCTTGATTAACCAACTCAGAGGAAGAAACCCTCCCATTCTTTCACTCCCCTATCATTATGTTAAATTTGCAGAATACTCCAAACAATTAATTCAGTTTATTCTTTAAGTAGAGGATCTCATATTTCAGAGAACAATTGTGTATTGTGCACCTATCCTGCCTTTGACTTGGATCATAAATTCCTCACTGGAGGTGACAGAACTTATGTATTTTGTTTTGCTTTCTATGGCCACTATGAAAGAGTATTTCACAGAGTATCTGGATGTATAGGATCTATAATTGTTCATTCTGCTAGGCTTTTAGCAGTTATACATGAATTTCATCTTCATCGTTTTAAAAACCAACCCACAATATGTGGAAATGTTATATAGATGTATTCCAGAGGAAGATAATATAACACAGAAGTATTTTTCAAAGTCCACTTCCCTTTGCCTTGTGTTGATAGTGCCTAACTCTTTCTTGGCAGGGCTATCACCTTTACCTATTTTTGATATAGTCTTCTAGAAAGATTTCCCTCTATAGCTATGGGTTCTGAGATCCATGAAATAAACTGACTACTGACTAAAAATATTTTTAAAATATTTAAAAAAATGCTGAATATGTATTTAATATGCATTTGCATGTTATTATTCCACAAGTAATATTTACAAATATTTATTTAACATTTACACTGTATTAAATTTGGGTTTGATAAGTAATCCAGTGATACTGGCTGTTATAGGCAAATACTACACTCAATTAATATAAAGCACTTGCAAATTGCCTACTTTGGATCTGTAGAAATTCCTGGAACCAGTCTTTTAAGGACACGAAGGCATATACTAATGCATTTATGGAAATGAAATCATACATAGTCATACCTACACAAATCCTTTTAATGTGTAAGGAAGCCCATATCTACTTGTTTAACACCTTTTTAAATTGATGTCTTATAAGATTTTTTCTTAGTACCTTGTGTTCATTTATTTCACTAAAATCACTGCTATAGTATATTGAGCTGCAATCCTGGTTATTTTCCTAGGATGGGAATTTGAATTTCTGACAGCTTTTCCATAGCATGCAAAACACTAATATACACCACTTGATGCAATTTCAAAATTTGATTGCTTGTATTAAAGATTTGATGCACTTTGTTTTTGCATGTTTTTAAAAACGTTGTCCTACAAGGAAGTTACTCAAATGTATAGCTCTTCAACATTTGGTTTATTTCTTGTACTGTTGTGAAATCTATGTGATTATCCAACATTTTGATCTTGACTTATCTAATAGAAAAGAAATGGCATCAAACTGATATTTCAGTTCATATTTTAAATCACCAGAGCTTATAAACACTCTATATTCAGAAAATATTAATTCACTAAAATGCTTTACACATTAGATTATTGACCATATCATATCAATTTGACAAAACTCTCTATTTTAGATAAATACATCAAGTAATATTTTATAGGTTTTATTAAAATTTATGATCTGTACATACTAATGGGACTCTGTGTGCTGTTTCAACACATGCATCAAATGTGCACTCACCAATTACTCCCCCTTCTCCTTTCACAACTTCTATTAATGATTATTCTACTTTCTGATAGACCATTTGTTTATTTGTTTAACATTCACATATGAGAAAGAACATATGGTATTGTATTTATGTATATGATTTCATTCCTTTAACTTATGCCTTCAAATTCCACCCATATTGTTAGAAGCAAAAAAATCATTCTTTTTAAATACTGACTGATGTTCAATTGTGTGTATGTGTGTGTGTGTGTGTTTAGGATCTTTCTCACTTGGTGTATTTTCAGGTGTTTCTTTGTGCCTTTGATTGTCTGTGTTAGATGTTGTGCAAAAATTCATGCCTCATGTCAATTGTAATCTTTTTATTACCTCTTTATAATTTTAATAGTCTTCACATAAACGCCATAAAATTGTATTCAGCTTAACTCAAATATTTCTTTTTCTGAAAGAAATTTTAATTGATATTCATTCTATTATTTGTACTACTGATTTTTGTACATTAAAAAATCTAGCTTATTTTTGATTCGTAATTTCTTACGGCTTTTTTAGCTTTGATACATTTTAAGTTCCACTTTTCCACTCATATTTGATACTATATTTTCCTATTCTGTGGACCATTCTTGTTTTTCCTTTTTTATTAGAAAGAAAATTATTTTACATGTCAATCCCAGGTTCCTCTCCCTCCCCTCCTCTTCTGCTCCCCCAACTAAAGCCCTACCTATCCCATACTGCTCCCCAGGGAGGGTGAGGCCTTCCATGAGGGGGGTCTTCAAAATCTGTCATATTATTTGGGATAGGGCCTCAGCCAACCCACTTATGTCTAGGCTCACGGAGTATTCCTCCATGTGGGATGGGCTCCTGAAGTCCATTCCTATGGTAGCGATTATGTAAGCAACTTACTTGGGATTTACAGAACTCATTTAATTCATGTCATTAAGTTTACAATGTGTCCTGATTTAAATCAAATCAAATAGTGTAGTAGTCATTACTTACTTTAAATATTTTTCAGTAATTATTGTTAAAAAATAACTTTTAATATTTTAATCAAGTTCAATACTAATCATCTGGTTTTCATTTGACTTCATTTACCATAGAGCAAACTATTACTATTTAAGTTCTACAAATGAATTTTAAAACTTTTAAATGCAATCTGTTTTTTAAAATGTGACATTGTATTTTTATTTTAAAATTTATTTACTCCTCCATTGTATCAAATGTTGCTATTTTATTAAAACTAGTCTTAATTTCTAGGTACATTTTAAAATTCATAACACACATTAAAAATGTACAATCCAGAAATTATAATTACTGGAAAATGAACATAAAGTGTAGAAAAGAAATACTTTGCAGGAAAAATACCACCATTGACAATTACAACAAAACAGGATTACCCTGGCAGCAACATCCATTGCCCAAAGTGTGTTCTACATGTAGAGTTTGAAAGCATGTGGGTAGCAAACAACCAATTTGTTCTTAAATCAGAAGAAATAAAAGATTTATACATGTTCTATTTGTGTGTACTGAAGTTACAAAAACATTTAAGAATGTTTGTTATTTTTCTTTAATATGATATTTCTATGAATTCTTTAAGATCTGAGTAAATTGGGAACACAGAGGGAGGTAAGGGGGAGTTAGGAGAAAGAGAAGCGGGAACAGGAATTGGGAGGAAGACATGAAGGACCAGGAAGATAGAGTCATGGGAAGAATAGAGGAGAACAAGAAAAGAGATTTTTCTCACTGTGTATTTTCATCACATTTACCCCCTCCCACAGCACACAACCTGTCCCAACTTTCTGTACTCTTTTGTTTTAATGACCCAATAAATTCAGGTAGGGATGATACAGTTTTCCCACTTATGGTAGAGCACTCCATAATCACTTGTTCTCTGCCCATTGACTAGTTGTGAGTTTCTGCATTACCACTATCTAACACACAAAGGAAGCTCCCTGATTGGTTCTGTGATCTACACTTAAATATATTTGTAGAGTTACAAATTTAGGGGGCACTTTGGTTTTTTTCCATTTAGAAAATAATAATAATAGGTTTACCTCTAGAACCTATAAGCCTCCACCCATGGGTTCTTGATCAGATGTGCAGTACCAGAAATGCATTTCTTCCTGTGTAGTGAACCTTAAGTGCAATCACAAAGCAAATGGGTGTATTAATAATATTCATGTCACTATTGCTCACACAGGCAATCTTCTTACCACATCAGTCATTGCTATATTTCATGGGGTTCTATCTTTCCTAATAGATCACATAAATTCTTCTGGTACCATATAGGTTACCTAACTATGAGGCAGCATAGTAATCAGAACCAACTCGATTTATCCATGTCTTGTGATGAATGTGTAGTGTCTTCACCAATAACATCTTTAAATCAAGTTCTGGTTAGCAATGGAGCCCAATAGCAATAACATCATTTCAGGCATCCCCGGTACACATCTACTGACATGATGAGAGGCATTCCAAACCTGACACCCTATGGCATCTAGGAAGAGATTAATTATGCCCAGTTAAACCCACAAATCTTGTAGCATTTGTATTTTTCAGCCTGGCCTATCTCATTCAGTGCATTTTCAATTCTGTCTATTTACCTTCTGGTTTCATAATTTCTTTTTTTTCTTTACAGTTGAATAAAATTCCATTGAATATGGATACCACATTTTCATTATTTATTTATTGCTTGATGGACATTTGGGTTGTATCTAATACCCAGTTATTTTGAATAGAGAAAAGATACTAATATGGGCTATCATATGTCTTTGTAATAGGAAATAAAGTCTTTTGTGCGTATGCCCAGATATGTTATAGTTGGGTCATATAGTTTATCTGTTGCTAGTATTTTGAGGAATCCCTACACTGATTTCTAAGAGGCTGTAGCAGTTTACCTTCCCAAAAGTACATGAGATCCCCCCATTACCCTATCCTAGGAAGAATCTGTCACAACTAATTTTCTTAATCTTAGTCATTCTGACTGGGGTAAGAGGAAATATCCAAGAAGTTTTAAGTTGCTGTTACCTAATGGCTAAGGATGGCCAACATTTTTTATTTTTTATTTATTTATTTTTTTAGTGTGGGTTCTTTTTTCGGTTTGTTTTTGTTGTTTTTTTGTTTTCCAAGCCAGGATTTCTCTGTATTGTTTTGGAGCCTGTCCTGGAACTAGCTCTGTAGACTAGGCTGGCATAAACCTCACAGAGACCCGCCTGCCTCTGCCTCCTGAGTGCTGGAATTAAAGGTGTGTGCCACCAACACCTGGAGGTCAACATTCTTTAGATGTTGCTTAGCTATTTTATTTTTTCTTGTGAGAATTTTCCACCCACTGCCATGGCCCACTTTTTTAATTTGGTTGTTTTCTTAAAGTTCAGTTTTTTAAGCAATTTATATATTCTAGGCATTAATCCACTGTTACACATACAGTATATGTTTTTGGTTGTGTGTTTTTTTGTATGTAGGCTGCCTCTTCAATTGGTTAGGAGTTTCTTTTGTAATAAAAATGTATTTCAGTTTCATCAGGTCCCACTGGTCAGTTGTTGTTCCTATTTCCTAGGTGATCAGAGTCCTACATAAAAACCTATAGCCTAAAATATATTTCCAACTATTTTTTTCTTTTTTTTAGGATTCAATCTCAGGTCTAACATTGAGGATTATTTTGTTTGTTTGTTTTATTTTGTTCATTTTTGCCTTTTGTTGTTGTTGTTTTGAGTCAGGTTTTCTCTGTGTAACAGCCCTGGTCCTTGTACTCATTTTATAGACCAGGATGACCTTGAATTTACAGAGTTCCACCTGCCTCTGCCTCCACAGCATATACCACCATGTCAGACTCCTAATAATTGAGTTTTTCATTGGTTCTAAATTGATTTCTGTACATAGTAAGAGAGAATGCTCAAGTTTTATTCTTCTACATGTAGATGTCAAATTTTCTTAAAAAACAGGTATTTCAAATTATTTCTTCTTGTTTGTTTGATTTTGCATCTTTTTTTCAAAATTCAGGTATCACACCTTCATGGACCAATATCTGGGTCCTCAAATCTTCTGCATCATCAAACATTGCTGTTTTTGTGCTCAGTCCATGCTGCTTTTGCTACTTTGATCCTATAGAAACATGAAGTCAGGGCTGGCAATTCTTCAAGGAGTATTTTTAGTGCTTAGCATTGATTACCCAGGGCTGACATTCTTTTATGAAACAACTAAAATAATCTTTTCAAGGTAAACAGGTAAAAAGTGTTGTGGCGTTAAGGTTACATACATAAATAAAATGTCATTTTCCTTAAAATAAAGTATCTGCCTAAATTTCAGCTTGGGTCATAACTAATAGTGCTTGCCTAAATTTATGACTGTGAAAGTAACTGATACACACAAAAACTATCTTTAATGTTAACTGCTGAAGTTGTTATACACTTCTAATTATTCACAGAATCCCTTTTTATTTAATACAGAAAATAATGTGAACTAAAGAAAACATTAATGCTCAGACTCTACAAGCAGCTACAAACAGAACAAGAGTATTCTGAGGCTGTCATGAAAACAAACTGTCAAGCTACCAGCAAATAGATTTCTTGATAATAGCAAGTAATTCTGTCTCTGACAGAAATGATAACTGGCTATTCATTACTGTGATCTAATTATACAATTCAAATGCATTTTCTTTCCATTCCCTTAAGGGAGATGCATCAACAATGCCTGGGTATGTGATGGAGATGTCGACTGTGAGGATCAGTCTGATGAAGAAGACTGTGACAGTTTCTTGTGTGCACCACCCAAGTACCCTTGTGCTAATGACACCGCGGTGTGCCTGCAGCCAGAGAAACTCTGCAATGGGAAAAGGGACTGTCCGGATGGGTCAGATGAAGGCGACCTTTGTGGTATTGCTTGTTTAGTCCCATTTGCTTCTCTCCAGACATTAGACCCTTTTAGTTTACTCACATCTACTTATTATAATTGTACTCATTCATTCCATTTATTCCCTTCAAATGAGACTTTTTGCACTGAAGCTTACATATAATTTTTAGTCATTAAATGGCCTTATAAATTACACTAAATATGATAGAGAATTTCTGAAAGCAACAGAAAAAACTCAGACTATGCATTTAGCAGTCACAGAGCTATGCTGGTGTTACTTCTCTGCCTCCTGCCTACAGTTCCATAGCTGAGTGGATTGCTGTCAGGAGTCATTAAGAACAGGAAGTCTTCTCAATGCTGACCTGTAAGGTTCAGGTCCCCAGCACTGTGTGGATGTTGAGGAGTCTTCAAACTTTACAAGAGAAACTGTGTTTTTGCTTGTTACAGCAAAAGGGGAGAAGCTGGATAATGAGACAGACTGAGTATTGCCAGAGTTGCTATGCCACTATGTCTGATTTGAAGTCCTTGTAGAATAGTTTCCCTGAGTATGCGTATCTAGTTAAAGCAATCAATGCAACAGACTTTGAAAGAACCTGGAATAGCCATCTCTCCATATCAAACAATGCATATAAAGGAGAATATGTTTTCTATCCTGAGGAGACCAGAGATTTATCAAGAAAAGGTTGTAGATATGTTTGCTAAAAAACACTGAAGAAATCATTCGTAAATTGTCTAAAGAATAGTAAAAATAAGTAGCTCCTGGAGCTATATATGATAATGACTAGGAAAGAACAAATGTAAATTGACTGATCCAAAGGGTAAAAGGCTACACTTCTTAGCCCTGGACTTGTGTTTGTACACAGCCAAGCACAATAGTATATTGTATTGTGTGAAAATGGTTGTCACTCTGTTTCAAAATGTATGTAATAAGGCAACCTGTCATTCAAAGGTTCTGTAGTTCTATAAGATTACCTTTTACCAGTAAAACTAAAAAATAAACAAAATATTCATACAAACTAAACCCTAAAACCAAATTAATTACACTACTACAAAAAATCTACATGGACAAATTGGTATATTTTCCTTGTTTATATTCACTTCCTTCTTTTAACATTTCATTATGCCAGCTAAGAGACAAGTGGTGATGAAAAGTAGAGAGGTTTATCCAAAGCAACCACAGTATGAAGAGAAACAAAGGAGGCATCTGTCATAAGTGTACTGACAGGAATGTTAGGTTTAAATAGATGATGCTGGGTAAAAGGCAGATGAAGCACTGCCATCACTGGCTCAGCTCAAGTCCGTAAAGTAATTGGAAGAGGTCTACACTGCTTAAAGAGATAGACATATGTTCATTTATGTTCCAGTGGGCAGCTTCTCAAGACAAATAACACTTTTGTGGCTTTTCAAACAGGTGTTTCTCCTCTTAGCTTTGGCTCATTCTGGAATCTAAGGTGACTGCAACTTTAAAACAATACTTATTTCTGCGCTTTTAGCCTGGAAGGGGGACAAGATTGGCCTCTTTTTGTTTTGTCTTATTTCTGTAGTAATTGACATACAGAGATGTTTAGGTGACCCAAAGCACAGCAGACAAGTTTGTTCTGATGCAGCAGCATTGCTTACACATATGGCATCATCTGTCTTCTCAGAACACATGGCAGGGTTGAATGTAGACAATGAGAACCAAGAGCATATATGAGGACCAGAGTGTCTTCTATGCTTACACACAAGAAAACTAGCCCAAGCCTGTAATCTTCTAGCCTCTTGAGGAGATTCTTTTCCTATCGGGTTTTTGAATTACTTCAAATGATTTCAAATGAAACAACCTCTCTGTCTCCAGCCAGAAGTCACTTATGAAAGGAAGTCATAGGAGCACAGAGCAGGGGGTCCCTAGAGTAAGTAGGGCCAATACAAGTTGTCCCTCTGGATATGTACACTTCCAACAGGAAGCTTCTGGTCTACCAGAAAAGAGTGGCAGAAAGTTCTCAGAGGGGCAAAGAGTGATGGCTATGAGAGTGGTCAACAGTTTTACTGCTTATCAACACAGGCGGGCTCAGACACACAACAAACTTTCTTTGCACACTGAATTGTGACAAACCAGGATTTGCAATCATTCTATGGAGATTCACTAGAACTATAGAGCAGTATTTTGTTTTTTTTCTTCTGGTCCCACAGGAGGCAAGTTCCAGCATGGTGGAGTATGAATTGATTTCTTTTGAATATGTACCATGGTTAAAGCCTAGTTAGTGTTTAGGAAGGCCAAAAGGCAGCAGACCAGATTATGGTCACAGTAACAGTATTGGTGCAGTAATGAAACTTTTAAAAAGAGGTTTAGGGTTAATAACAAAGTTAAAGTGGAACTGATAATGCATTGGCTGTGAGAATATTGATATTTTACATGTACACTCAGTTTCAGATTTCAAAGTGAATTTTGCTTCTCCTAAATTCTGTTACTTAAATCCACAGATGGCATCAGAAATTCTTAGTGCTAAGATAAAAGTTATATTTGAAATAAACTAAAAACATTGTAAAAATCTTTTTGCTCTTTATTTATTTTTTTTGTACCTGATGGGCACAATGTTTTTTTTTTTTTTCAGTAATTCTCTTGAAAAAGAGTGTTGATTGAACTAAAATAGGGCAAATACTTCAAAATGACTACAATTATACAATGATTATGATTATCAGAGAAAAAGAATATTTGGAAATAAATCAATTTTCCCTTTCCAAATAATATCTAACATGAAGAAAATTTTTAAAGAAAAATGGTTAATGGAATTATATTTCCTTTCATATTACTGCAACTGTTTTGATGATGATGAATAGTGTGGAAAAGTGGTAAACCATAAAGAAAACTTTAAAATGCAGGACTCTTTAATGAACACCTTGCATTTCAGCCCATTTTATTTTATAAAAAGTATAATAGAGACCCAAGGAGGCATATTATACATGTAAATATTAATACAATTTTTCAGTCATTACACAATAGTCCCTTTAGCACCTGTCTGCAGAAGCACAATCAGATCAGTTTTGAGAAATATATTTTTAAATCTCTGTTTTTGCTCAATTTTTTGTTTTGTTTGTTTTTAAGATACAGTCTCTCTATGCAGACATGGCCAGTCTTAAACTAACTGTATATACCAGGTTGGCTTCATACTCACAGAGATCAGCCTGCTTCAGTGTCCCTAGTGAAGGGCTTAGAGGTATTCATACCAAGCTCAAAACAACACTTTTACTGCAAAGTAATACATAAAAGTTCTTGGTCTTGCTGTTGGGTTGTTGCCCCTTAGGAACAGTAGGAAACTGTAGGGAACATTAAGGGACAATGAAGCTGTGAAAAATTGCACTATGTTTAATCAAGAGCACGACATTTTGAAATTTGCCCAAACTGACCCAAATTTTAGAAGTTCTATCCTTTTTGTAAGCTTTATTTTTATTTATCAGATATCTTTAACTGTCTTTTCAACATCAAGCTGATAAACATAATTAGAAATATTCTGTGTCCCTCCAGAACCTAACATTTTGTGATTAAAATATCAATAAATGTATATATCTAAAGGTAAATACAAATGCTATAAAGGAAGCATTCCCTTTCTTTAGCAATATTGTGTATTATTCATGAGGTAAATAATGGTTGCTCATTACTTGTGCCAAAACACAAGTATAAATTTGTTTGGGTATTATGTATTACATTTCCATGACCTCATTGAATTAATCATAGCAACCGACATATAGGGCATAGGTAGAAAGGAAACTACTCTTCATTATGACTATATGATATAATTACATATGAATATACATGTGTTTTATTTATAAGCATTAAATACGCCAGTAATCAATTTTTGTCTCTTTCGAAAGACATCTACAATTGATTTTGCACAGCTTCTAAAAGGTTGAGGATAATTTTTCTAGTTTTAACAAAAGTTTGGAACGCAATTTACATCAGTGCGTTAACCCAATGGGTTCTGAACACAATTTGCATCAGTGAGCTAAGCCATGTTACAAACTTAGTAGAAATTAAAACATGACTTCCTAATTCTTATCATTTAGAAATAAATTCTGGCATTGCATAGTTTTTAGCAGAGATGGTCTTGTATTGGGTACAAAGCCCAAGACTCTAATTCCAGATGTAGAGAATTCAATCAATGTGTAGTATAGAGTGGAAAAACAATGTGACTGAGAAACATCTGTCCCTTGACAGATGAATGTTCGCTGAACAACGGAGGCTGTAGCAACCATTGTTCTGTTGTTCCTGGAAGAGGAATTGTCTGCTCCTGCCCCGAAGGACACCAACTCAAAAAAGACAATAGAACCTGTGAAATTGTGGACTATTGTGCCTCCCACCAGAGGTGCAGCCAAGTGTGTGAGCAGCACAAACACATGGTCAAGTGCTCCTGTTATGAAGGCTGGACATTGGGTGTGGATGGAGAAACCTGCACCAGCGTGGGTGAGTAGATACTGCCATCCGTGAAAACAAATTCCAAAACGCCTCGAAAAATTTTAATAAAAAGATTCCATTCATTCTATATATAGCTTTTAAATGTTATGTCATTTTTAACCCATTCCAAAAACCTCTGGAAAGGATGTTTCACAACATATCTTCTTCCTATGGCAGCCCTCTGACCCTTCACCATTTGATCACTACTACTGTTCTAACTTTCAATCATCACAATTATCTTCTCATAGCATGTTTCATTAACAACACATCACACATTTGAAATTGGATATTACTACAAGTGGACTTCATACAATGATGAACTGAAATCTTATTGAGTGCCCATAACACAGGACTGTGGTTAGAGCTGAAGAGGTTCCTGAAGTTTTTTGGGGAGAATATCAGACCTTTATTTTAATTAAATTCCAGGAGAGAGAAATAATCTTTTTCATTTTATTAATGTGGATTTCAGACCATAGATGCTAATACAAACCAGGATAATTTGTATACAACACAAGTGATAGACATACATCAATGATAGATAAATAGATAGATAGATGATAGATAGATAGATAGATAGACAGATAGATAGATAGAGGCAGATAGATGATAGATGGATGGATGAATAAACAGGTGATAGGTAGATAGTCACTAAGAATGACACAGCTGCTAACTGTTGGGCTTTAAACATAAAATGTCCTCTTTCTTGCCCTTACTTCACTCTCATCATTCTCTTCTTGATGTTTTAAAATGTGTTTTATATTGATCTGTAATATGCATGATTACTAATCTTAAGATTTAAAAATGGAAAAAGAAATATTTCTTTTCTAAGACATCTAATCCATAAAAATTTTGTAACTATTTCAAGTATTTACAAGATGAGAAGAAATTAAAATTAGGAATGAAAATACTTATCAAATAAATTTTAATTCATGACCTGACAACAATAAAATACAGAAATATGGCCTTTTAAAAAAGTTTTTCAAGGCAGAGTTTCTTTCTGTAACCCTAGCTTTCCTGAAACTTCCTCTGTAGAGTAGGCTGGCCTTGAAATCATAGAGATTCACCTGCCCTTGTCTCCTCCTCCTGAGTGTCGGGTTTAAATGTATGCACTACTGCTCAATTCCATGGTTGTATCTTGATTAATATTTCTGTTTAATGATGCATTTTTATTATTTTTTACATCCAGACCAAAATTCCCTCTACTCCTTCTCCCCCAAGTCCCTCTTCCCACCTCCTCTCTGCTCCCTACCAACTCCTCCTCCATTTCTATTTAGAAAAGGGCAGGCATCCCACGGATATCAACCAAATATTGCATATGAAGTTGTAGTAAAACTAGGCACCTACCCTCCTATTAGGGCAGCACAGGCACCTCAGTATGAGTATTAGGGTCCCAAAAGCTGGCAAGAAGATTCAGAGGTATCCCTTACTTCTCTTGTTAGGATTCCCACTAGAGGACCAAGATACACAGCTGCAACATGTATATGCAGAGGGCCTAGATTAGTTCCATGCAGGCTCCTTGGTTGTCAGTTCTGTCTCTGTGAGTCACTATGAGTACATGGTAGCTGATTCTGAGAGTTTTCTTATGGTGTACTTGACCCCTGTGGCTTCTACAATAAGCCCCTTTTCCTCAGGATTCCTCAAGCACCACCTGATATTTGACCGTGGGTCTCTACATCCATTTTCATCAGTTGCTGGATGAAGCATCTCTGATGACAATTGTGTTAGGCATAAATCTATAAGTATAGCAGAATATCATTAGCCATTATTGTGTAGACAATTTTTCCAGTCAAATTTGGTTCTTTCATAGGTTTCTGGACTATTAATGCACTGGGTTCTGGTGCTCTAGGCAGTGCTAGTGATGGGCTCCTTCTTATGGCATGGGTCTCAGGCTGGAACGGTTATTGGTTGGTCATACGCACAATTTCTGTTCCACCTTTACTCTAGCACATCTTGTAGACAGGAAAAAATGTAGATCAACTGTTATATGCCTGGGCTCGTGTCCCAGTCGCTCCACTGGAAGTCTTGCCTGAATACAGGAGACAACCAGTTCAGGCTATGTATTTCTTATTGCTAGAGTCACACTTGCAGATTCCTGGGAGTTTCCATTGCAACAAGATTATATCTCACCCTCCAGGTATTTCTTCCATATTCTCTCCCTCCAGCCTCCACCCGATCCATCTTGCTCCCATCCGAACTGCCTCCAGTCTACCCTCAAAATCTATTTTTTTTTCAAGACAGGGTTTCTCTTCGTAGCTTCGGAGCCTATCCTGGCACTCACCCCGTAGACCAGGCTAGCCTCAAACTCAGAGATCCACCTGCCTCTGCCTCCTGAGTGATGAGATTAAAGGCGTACACCATGAACACCCAGCCAAAATGTATATTATTTACCCTTCCCAGGGATAACCAAGCACATCTCCTTGAGCTTTCTTTATTACTTAGCTTCTCTGGGTCTATAGATTGTAGCATGGACTCACTCAGGAGGATTTTTTTTCTGGTTCCATTCATCTGCCTATAAATTTCCTGTAATTTTTAACAGCTGAGTCCATTGTGGTAATATACCACTCATTTTTCCATTCTTCAGTTCAGCGACATCTAAGTTGTTTCCAGGTTGTGGCTGTTATGAATAAAGCTGCAATTGACATAGTAGAGCAGCTGTCCTTGTGGCAGTTGAGGATCTGTTGGGTGTATGCCCCAGAGTGGTATAGCTGGATATTGAGGTAGACTGATTACAATTTTTTTGAGAAACCACCATATTTATTTCCAAAATGGATGTACAGATTTTCACTCTCACTAGAAATGGAGGAATGTTACCTTGTTCCACATCTTACCTAGTATGAGTTGCCACTTTTGGGTTTTTTTTTCCACTTGTGTTTTTGAACTCAGCCATCTGACAGGTGTAATATAGAATCTTTGTGTCATTTTGATTTTCATTTTCCTAATGGCAAAGGATGTTGAACATTTCTTTAAGTGTTACTCATCAATTTGAGTTTCTTAATTCAAAATTCTTTGTTTAGATCTGTATCCCATTTTAAATTGGATTACTTGGTTTGTTGATGTCTAGTTTCTTGAGTTCTTAGAGTATTTTTGATATAATCCCGCTGTCACAAGTGAGATTGATAAAAATCTGTTTTCATTCTTTAGGCTGTCATTTTCTCTTTTTGACAGTATCCTTTTCTTTAAAGAAGCTTTTCAGTTTCATGAGGGATAACTTGCTAATTGTTGATCTTAGTTCCTGCAATATTGGTGTTCTGTTTTTTTTTTTTTTTTGAAGTTTACTCCTATGCCAATGTGTTCAAGGCACTTTCCCTCTATCTTTTCTGAAAGCCTCAGTGTACTGGGATTTATATTGAGGTGTCTGATCCCTTTTGAGTAAAGTTTTGTGCAGGGTCGAACATATGGATCTATTTGCATTCTTCAACATGCCCATATCCAGTTGAGCCAGCACTATTTGTTGAAGATGCTTTCTTTTTCCATTGAATAAGCTTGGAATCTTTTTCAAAATCAAGCAACCATATGTGTGTGGCTTTTTGTCCAAGTCTTTGAATCAATTCTGTTAATGTATTTCTCTGTTTTTATGGCAAAACCATGCAGTTTTTATTAGTAGTACATCTTGAAATCAGGGATGGTGATACCTCTGGAGGTTCTTTTATTGTATAGGACTGTATTCACTAATTTGGATTTTTTGTTTTTCCATATGAAGTTCAGTATTGGTCTTTTAATATCTGTAATGATTTTTAATAGGAATTGAATTGAATCTTTAGATTGCTTTTGATAAGATGGACATTGTATTACATTAATCCCACTCATCAATGAGCATGGGAGATCTATCTGTATTCTGCTATCTTCTACATCATCTTTGTTAGACAACTTTAAGTGATTGCCATTGTGGTCTTTCATTTGTTTGGCTAAAGTTACAGCACGATATCTTATATCATTTACAGCTATTACAAAAGGTGCTTGTTCCCTGATTTCTTTATCTGCTCATTTATCATTTTCATATAGAAGCACTGAATTTTTTCAGTTAATCTTTTTTATTTTTTTAAAATAATCTTTTTTATTTTACATACCAATCCCAGTTCCGCATCCCTCCTTCCTCCCACTCTCCCTTTCAGTTAATTTTCTAGCCAGTCACTTTTCAGAAAGTGTTTTTCAGCTGTAGAAGTTCCCTGATAGCCTCTTTGGCCTCACTTATGTAAACTGTCATATTATTTACAAATAAATGCAATTTGACACCTTCCCTTTCAATTTATATCCCATTGATCTCCTTTAGTTGTCTTATTTGTCTAGCTAGAATTTCAAGTACTTTATTAAATAAATATGGAGAGACTGGACAACCTTGTGTTTTTCCTGACTTTAGTGAGATTGCTTTGAGTTTCTTTCCATTTATTTTAATATTGGCTATAGGTTTGCTGTAAATTGCCTGTGTTTTGTTGAAGTATGTCCCTTTTGTTCCTTATCTCTCCAAAATCTTTATTATGAAGGAGTATTGGATTTTATCAAAGCTTTCTCAGCATCTAATGAGATGATTTTTTTCTTTCAGTTTGTTTATGTGGTAGATTACATTGACAGTGAACCAATTTATTGGGTGTTCTATAAGCTTCTTGTACATTTATACACATGTCCTTCTTTAGGTTAGGAAAATTTTCTTCTATGATTTCATTAAAAATGTTTTCTGAGCCTTTGGTCTGTGATTCTTCTCCATTCTTAGGTTTGGTCTTTTCATGGTGTCCCAGATTTCCTGGATGTTTTGTGTCAGGAGTTTTCTTAGACTTAACATTTTCTTCAACCAGTGTACTTATCTTCTATCGTGTCTTTAATGCCTATCTTTTGTATTCTAGTGATGAGTCTCTCATCTGTGGTTTTTGCTTGCTTGACTGGGGGTTTTCATTTCCAGAATCCCCCAGTTTATGTTTTCTTTATTACTCCTCTTTCCATTTTTAGGTCTTGAACAATTTTATTAAGTTCCTTTAAATGTTTGTTTTTTTTTTTCTTGATTTTCTTGACATTCC